CAATTACAATGAATTCGTTGAGTGTGAAATCTTGTCAAAATCAAATGCATTTCGATTTACGAAAAACGTGTTTTTTTTTTTTTTTTTTTTTTTTTTTTTCATAAATATAATAAAATAAATCTTTTATAACAGACAGATTGCACTTACAATTTATAAATTGTCATGGAAATAAGATTTCACTAAATATTCAAGGCTATTTTCAATTTTCTCTAATCTTAGTATTTTTAAAGTGTCTCTGACATATCTGTCGCTTTATACTGAAAAGCCATTTACTCATTCATAAATAGTTGACATTACATAAAAAATTATTTTTCGTAAAATGAATTCAAAGAATAATGTTAAACTAAAAACATTTTAAAGCTTATTAACTGTAAATTTTCATAATAAGTTATGAAAATACACTCCATAATGTTCAACATTTAGACCTGGACTACGAATCATATTTAATAAATCATTACTATAATTTAGAATACAATTATCATTTAAATAATATTTGTACAAATAAAAATATCAAAACTGTTTTAACGTTAAAAATAATTTTAAATAATTCCTTTAGGTATAAATGGTTTCTTTTACGTTACATAAAAAATGTATAAATATGTACTAAACTACAGAACGTTTTTCTCATTCTTTAATCATGTGACCTGAGCTAAATTTCATGTAAAATAAATACCAGAATTAAATTTTTCATAATCTTTATGCTTTAATGACACTGAAATATAAGTTGAAAAATCCATTAAATCTAAATGTATTCTGTCGTGTATTTAAATTAGGCAAGTTATAAGAAAAAATCCTAAGAAAAGAATGACCAGTTGAGTTTTGTAAAATATAATAATTTTATTATCTTAGTTTGTTGTATTTTTGAAAAAATACATAAAACATCATTGTTTCAATTCAAAAGATTAAGTTCAAGCTTAAAAATCAAAACTATTCATTATTAAAAATATAGTATTTGATTTTTCGGTTAATTTATGGTTTTTAAAATTATAAATAACCTAAAGTCTTTAATTAGTTAACAATTTAGCAATTTAACATAATATACATATTAAAATAAAATATTAACCCGTAAATTTAAAATTCATAGAATTAAAGATAGAAAAATAATAAATTATTATTAATGTATAAAATTTGTTGTTTTTACGGATAACGGAATAATTTACAGGAGATAAAATATCTAAAATCGTATAAATTATTATTCGGTATATATGTATATTATTAAATAATCTGTTTTTTTTTCTCAAAAAAAATAAAATAATTTTAAAAGTACTAGTATAAATATCAAAGCAAAACAAAATAAATCAGAAAATTAATAAACTAGATACACAGACATATCAAAACTAAATAAAAATACGTTATATTATACAAAACCAGCAAAAATTTAAATTTATAAATTCTGTATTTCTATAGAAAAAGAATATTAACATTTTCTATACAACTATTTAAGGTTCTCCACCCTTATCCTTGAACCTCCATAAGGCTCTGCTTTATACTTCTTCTTTGCTCAAGATAGCTATTTTCAGTTATTCCCTTTTCGTATTAATATTTTTTGATAAAAGTGAATTGCAATAAAATTAGAATAATATTTGAATAAGAATATTCACTGCAGATTACTTTTACCATTATCCGTTTTATAAATTAAATACTATCACCTTACTCTGCTCCATAACTACACAATATGTAAAAAATGCAGTAGACTTGCTGTAATGGGTACGAAATAGAAATAAATTAATGTCTATGAAAGAAGCATGAGATAAGACTATGGAATAAGATTATAGCTTTCAAAGCAGTTAAACGAAGGCTTCCATTATTGATCTTAACGATTGAAAATTTTCTATTAAAATAAATGTTCATCATTCCCAACCACATCTCAAAGAATTTAATCCGATAAAAAAATATTAGTATGGCAAGTCTGATACTTCAATAGCAGTAAATTTGAACAAAGCAACACTTAAGAAATATTTTATTTCGAAAAACTTGGTTGCTTGTTTTTAGTTTAAATAAATCGGATACACCCACTAATTCAAACTTTAGTAAAAACATTTAAAATTACAAAGGCATTAAAAATATACCATTGGAAGAGGTAGAAACTCCAATTTATTATTAAAGAAGCCAACATAAGATGCATCAATTTAATAAAGAAACTCATTACTTCGCAGACACCAATCAAAAATGGCAATTATTGATAAATCAACGACAATGTAGAGTAGTAATAACGAAGTTTCCGAATCCTTTCAACAGAATAAAATATTTTCAAATTAGCCCGGAGACAATGTTAAACACACTATCGTTATATAATTAATAAAAACTAAATGGACATACTCACATTTTTATGAAAACTATATCGTAGCTAGTTAAAAACAAATTACAGTCTAGATAAAATAATTCTACTACTCTCTTAGTATTTATTAGTGTTATTAGTGTGGGGAGCTATTGCATTTCCATTGATGTCAATCGTTATTTGCGTATTAGCATTGAGTATGAGGTTTTGAGGTATACTTAATAGTATTAAATGTTTTGAGCTGATGGACTATTCTACTTAGGTAGGTACAATAAACATATTATCAAATAAATATTTAAATCATATAGTTCAGGACTGGGAAATTGGCGGCCCCTCGAGTCTTTTTTGTCTGGCCCGTGCTATTTTTTAAAATTATATCATACAATTTTAAAGTTAAAATTCCGGTAAAACCCAAAAACACAAATCTTCTATTTTTTTTTTTCGATAAATCAAAATCCCAAATTCAATTTGCGTTTTTGCACCTTAGCGGTGGGATAAAAGAGAAAAAATAAGTATTGTACTCGTTATGCTATAAGTTTAATTTTAAAATTATCATTTATTATTAAATTCAATTATTAATTTTAATTAAATATATAATATTTTATAATTCAAAAATACATCAAAAGTGATCAAATTCAGTTAAAATTTAGTATAAATTATTATCGAATCCTATTTTATCGCAACGAATTACGTGGTGAGGGTTGATAATCATTTAAGATAACCATGTAATATAATAAAGTATATAATATATATAAAGTAAAAACTATCAAATGGTATTCGACTTGATATTTAATATACATTATAACTATTTAGATTATTATACGACTTTCGATTTATTTTTAATTGAAATATATTGAAAATTCGAGTGAAATTTTTTAAATTGTATGTTATCAGATAATCACTATATTATTTTAATAAAATACATTTTATTTTTGTAAAATTTATTTACGCTTATGGTTTGTTAAAAAGGTATTTTTTTTCGCGCTTATGGAATATTTATTTTAACGCTTTTGTGTTATGTTTAGGTCATATTTTACACTTATGGGCTACAGCCAAAATATCACATTACAAACAAAATATATGCTTATTAAAATGCATATTTTAAATGACTTTTTTTTTTTTGCATTCTATACTTTGAATCGCCAGATTTTATGTTTTCTAAAATTCGGCCCTCTAGTAATTTTGAATTGCCCATCCCTGATATAGTTTGTCGAAATTAAGTTTATCACCAATATGTGTACATCACCGGTAAATGTTGATTCCAAAGTATGAGCGTGCTCATTTACCATGTAGGTACTATTATATTACAAATGTAGGTATACTAAGATTAAGTATTTAAAAAAAAATTTTTCCTTACAACTTTTAAAATGTATAAATAAATTATATTATGTTTATAATTTAATAATAATATGAGAATTACTTTTTATTTATAATGACACTTTTTACTTGAATTTAAATCCCGAGTTTTTTTAAGTAAGTATACTATACATAATATATTATTTTCAAAGATAAATTGATAATATTAAGCAGTGAAGTTTTGTATTTAATATGTATATTATATATTAAAATACACTAAGTTGCTGTCTACTATATAGTATGCACAATAATAATATCATTTTTTATTTACATTTTACGAGATGATACGGCATATTATTACTGAGAGCGACGGGAATTCAAAAACAAATCTCGTAATAACTACATAATTCATTAAAAGTTATGACAAAAACATGCATAAAATATTTTATTACATTTGATTTTAAATTAGAATACAGTAAAATATCATTGTAAAAATGTATTATTTTTTTTCGAATAAAATGAAAAAGTCGACAAATATTCATTGTAAATAGTATACTGTGAACACGACTTTCATGGTGTTTTTTTACAGTTTTTAGTGCGACATATTATTAGCCCATTATTATTTAATGGCATTGTAAAATGGGTCATGACGATAAAGTATTATTTTTGGCGTTTACTGTTTACACGTCGATCTATCCCCAACTGTCACCGATCTGCAGGTTTAAACGACTTGAATTCAGAAAACCGAACGTTAGTCGTACAATATACTATTCTAAGTGTAATACGCGTAAGTAAGGAGTTCGGAATTTTGAGCTCCTAAACCCGCGGCCGTCGAACAGTATTTAATAGTTGGTCGTGATTTCGATACCTATTTCAAGCAATTACATTTTTTGCCATCCTTCTCGTTTTCGCGTGTACACTGAACAGGCTTTGGGGTTTCGCCATTTCCCGAAAACAAACTCGACACGACAACGCATATAGCGTACACACACACACACACACACGTATATTACCTCTCGTTTGATGCGTACAGGGGGTTAAACAAAGATTCGTCGTGTACAGTAAAAAGGGACCGAATTATTATTGCAAATCGACAAGTCAACGTAGCGTTTTATTAAAGCCGTCGTTAGTGGTTATTATCGTTTTTTTTTTTTCATTGTTGTCCTCCGACGCAGTAGAAATTTTCCTCCCCCGAAAGAGTACGCGTATTTTATGAGGAGGACGTTACGGGTTTTTCGAACGACAGCCGCGGTGGCGGTGGCGGCGGTGGTGATCGCAACGGTAAAACGTTTGCCACGTCCGATCGGGCGCGTTTACGCGAAAAACCTCCGCCGGCGTGCTTCGCCCCGGCGTGGTTTGTTACTAACGTGCTACCCCCGGAACACGTGAGAAACCCGCTGACTGCCGCGCTGTGCGGTCTCTCCTTATTCGCCAAGCCGGTCGCGACGCGTACCATGTGGCCGCGCATCGCCGTGAGAATATAAATAAATTGAACGACTCTGTACAATATTATAATATTATATTATATTGCACGGCGGAGTACACGACCCGACGTGAAATCGCGTAATAATGCCATACGATAATAACGCGACGACGTACGTTTTTGTTTCGCTTCCACCGCCGTGACCGTTTCGTCGTCGCCGTTTCCGTTTCGTATCCCATCGTCCGTCCTTTTCCTCCTACACCTCATCCCGTCGCCGCCGTCGTCGTCGTCGTCGACGACGGACGAGACCGACACCGACACAGACACGGCATCGATCATAACGCGCGTCGTCCGTTCCGTGTCCGGCCCGAGTCCGTCTGCTGTTTCGCCGCCAGTGTCGAACCTATCCCGCGCGCGGCATGATCGCCCGTTGAACCGGGACGACCGGATGTCGGCGCGATCGCCCGCAATCGCCGTGTAGCCCACTACGCACGACACAGGTAAGACAAATACACAGCCAGCTGCGACCGTAGGTATCTTTGTTATGCGACCGTCACCGGTCGGTGTACGCCGCGGCGATATATCCGGTCCGGGCGCGTTCCCGACGGACGTTCGCCGGAAAACGATCGTATTTTTCGTGCGTTCCCGCCGCGCGCGGTTTTGGCTGCGAGAAGAAGTCCGCTGGAAGACCGCGGGGGGGGGTCGGTTTGAGTGGTCGTGAGCTTTTTACGATCACAGAAGATAAAGTACACTGTACACGTACAGTAGGGTGGCCATTTTTATAAAAATAAAAAAAACGGGACAAGCAATTTCTCGTTAATATGATGATTTTTTATTTTTTCCAGTTACATTTAAGTTACGATTTATCAAAATAATAAAATAATAATTATAATAGATTTCTCTTTTTAAAATTGTTTCATATTTTTTTACACACATTATTTAATAATACGGAAATAACGGGGTTAAAACGATACCATTTTTTAAAAACGGAATAAAATGCGCCTCAATCAGTGTTTGTCGGGACAACGGGACATGATGATCAAAAAAGGGACAATACCGTTTTAAGCGGAATGTATGGTCATCCTAACGTATAGTCAGACTCTTATGCGTCGAACAATCGAACGGCATTGGAGGATACATGGCTAAATATACGATTAATATTACTTGAAATTAGCAACGCGCTAATAGATTCTAAGATAAATACCAAAATTTACGTTTAAACATTTTATGGATACGTTTATAATTAATAATGAAGTGTGTAGGTACGTATATAGACGCCACCAGAATAAAATTTATTTAGAGATAATAACTACTTACCTATAATTGAAGTTATCATATCATAATATTTAAAATAATTAGTATAATAATGATCATAATGATAAAAAACAATACGATTGTAAAACTATGAATATTTTTGTACTTCTAAATACGACCACTTTTTATGGTTTTAGGTTGACGCGATAAAATAGGTTCTAGTGAGGTAGTCTCCTAGCACCCTACTTTGTCTTAGTGCCTTTTTCACGCATTTTATGAAGGCTCCTTTGCCTTTCGTAAAAAATGTCTGCAGATGCTTAAAAATATTGTAGTGATGACAATTTTGATAAAATTGAAGTGGAAAACATCATTTAGAAATATACAACGATAAAATAATAATAATAATATGTAATACATGTAACGATTAAGGGAAATCGATCGATCGACCATACGAACGTTTTTATAGCATAAAAATTTATGACGTAAAATTATTAACAATTATAAATATCGTTCATCCGTGAAGTTGACGAAAATTCCTTTATCGTTTTACGATCGATTGGAAAACGCTTTTTTGTCCATTGCTCTGGTAATAACGAATTCAAAACAATAACAGTTTTAATGGTTTTCTCGAAATGTTAAACCATATTGAGGTTGTTTTGACTTTAAACATTATGATGCAACAACATTGTTATAAGTTGGGACCTTAAATTTTACAGTACAACTATTAAATGCTTATATTTTTGTAACAAAATATGTTCTTCCTTACAATAGTTATTGCGCCCATTTAAACTATAATACAATTAATCAGATCTCAAAATGTTAAGTCTATGTACTCTATTTCAATTAATATTTTACTGAACTTTAAAAATACCTTTTTCAAAAAAATAGATAGTTTCACGTAGGTAATTAGATTAAACTGTTATATTTTAAAAGTCATTAACTTTGATTGCATTATTATAAGTGAGATTTAATACTTTATTTATTTGTATATTTAAATGATAAAACTTTTTAAACTGTCTTTAAATGTTTAAATGTTTTTATATCAATTTTATAAATTGACTTTTCAAATAGTTAATAATTAATTAAATCCTTTAAGTGCAAAATAGTGTTAAATACGGTTATTTTTCAATATATATATATATATATATATATATCTGAAACTATAAGCACATTTAAATAGATCCTATTAAAGTGTAACAACATTACAAATTTCACAGTAATAATAAGGGGTTCATTATAGATTATAAATTAATTAACCTTGATAGTATTAACATGACACAAGATTTAAATCCTTATTAACTCGTATAGATAGTAATTCTATTTTTAGATAATTACTTTGAATAACACATTATATTAAAACCGGTAATTTATAAAATCAACGAACAAAAATTAATGTTCGGTTTATTAATTTTAGTATAGTTAAGCAATTATATATTTATACAAGGAAAATAAAACATAATATTCACCAATCAAGTTAAACATAGAATATAAAAGAAGTGTCTCATTTCTATATAAGTTTGAAAGTTAATTAATTTTTAATAATCAAGAATTGGTTTTGATCTTAAGTTAATAGTATAAAATATTTTAACGGAAACTACATTATATTTATGATTTTTTGTATCATTAAATTTCTTAGTATCACATTACATTATCTTCCTTTAGAAATATATAATGAAAAAATGATTTAAATGTTATCTTTAATCAGATAACAATGTAACTAAGTATTCAAATTTCTTCATTTAATTAAAAACCATAAGAGATAAGCACCTATAAAAAATATAAGATGCTTGATGTTTACTTGTTATCGATAAAACCCCATCTTGTAATTTATACAAAAAAATCGATAAAATTGAGTTAGTGAAAACTCTGTATTCTCACCCTTGTAAAAAATATTATTTGAATAATTTAAATAAACTTTAAAATTTTTATGATTTAATATTATGTTTCACAATATTTATATTATAATATTATTCTACTTAATAATTCAATGATCATTCTCAGTTTTTATTTTTTCGGGTTTAATTTTTGAAATTTAATGGTTTAAGAAGTACTTAACATTGTCATTTTGCATATAATTTATTGTTTATTGAATTTAGTGAAAAATCATCCTATATTATATTCATGTAATTTAAATTTTGAAAAGAGTTATTAATGTATTAGACTTACAAAGATGAATGTTTTGTTTTTCTTGTGTTTTATGTTACCACTAGGAGCATTAAAAATTTTCAATTTTATATTTAAGGTCGGTTCATGTTAAAAAATTGGTTTTAGTTGGTATTTTTGAGGAAGGAGAAGATAAAGAGTAATAAATTTTCAGTAATTTTCAAAATAATCAAGAAAAAAAATATAAGGGAACAACAAAAAGTTGTTTTTAAAATCGATTTTGATTATTTTTGGTGCTATTCAAAAATGAATAACTGTGGAGATTAAAAACTGTAAAAATGAATATATTAAGAATCTCACGTAAGATTTTATTAATTTAAATATTTAAATGAGTACAATTTGTTTTTTGTAAGCGTTTGAAGTTTCAAAATTTTCAAAATAATCTAATTATTTGATAGTTTAAAATTTATACTTTTTTTAATTTATAAGTTTAAGGTCTTTAAAATATATTTTAAAGTTCTCAGAAGTAATACTTTCTAATTGAATACTGCAATTTTAAACAATACTAAGAAGAAACTGAAGGTAATAACAACTAATAATATTACTGTATCATAAAACAGTTTAACCGAACATATTATTAATAGAATAATAAATTACTACATAAAACGAGCAAGTTTTTCAATTGTTTTCATGTATGAAAATATTAGTTATTTTTTGAAAAAGTAAAGTCTAGAGCCAATTAAAAACAACAAACTTTTCTTGAACTTTAGCTCGATTTCATTTAATATCAGCAACTAAATCTAAACAACCAACGACTAATCATTTATAATATATATGTTTTTTTAAATGATTTAACTTTTAATTACATTTTTAAAAACTGTTAAATGAAAAAAAAAATGTTTAGGGTTAATTTATTTAATAAATTTGAGAGTTAACTGTTGGCAATTAATTGTTTTGTTTTGTGTTAATATTCTCTCCGATTCGCTTAGTACTCTCTCTGAATAAACCCCTATAGTCTAGTAATATTTATTAACTCGGACAGATAGGTGTTTTTTTTTCAGGATTAATCTTATCTCTACACTACTACACCACTCTCGATGTCAAATTGTATTGGACATTCAATTAATTTATTAAGATTTACGAGTTTATATTTTTTTTTTATATACATCTTGATTTCGATTTCAGGGAACCAAAAGTCAAAGATAACATTTTTTTTTTTTGTATTTTCACTTTAAACAACACAATACTTTTACGATGTAATGATTTTTAAAATAACAGTTAAATAATACTCTATTATTATTTTCTTAACGTTATCTTCTTTAATGACATTCGATGTCCAATAATATTATCTACTTATTGATAAAGTACTAAAGTATATATATTTTTTTTTTGGATAATCAAATAGTTCGATTGATTACTTGTTTAATTAAAATATTTTATCATTATCTAATCTAAAACGAGTGTTAAAATACAGTGAAATCATAAATACGGTCTTTCGAGTTTTCAAATACCTGATCATAAGTATAGCCTTTAAGTATACCTTAGCAGATGTGAAAGTTTAATACAATCGTTTTTTGACAGAATAGCCACGGGACGACAGTGTGACAATGTTATGTGTTTGTGACGTATTTTTTAACACGGGTATTAAAGTATAAACACGGAGAAAGCGTCTGAAAATACGTGTTTCTTTACAGTTGTTTCCTTATTTTCATCTGATGTATCTGTTGGTATACGTTATTTTCTATTTTCCAGCGTTTCTCAGTTCTCGCTCGCTAATAAAGATCGTTGACCGGAAGTATTCGTATAATGAGATGTGTCAAGCATTCGCATTCACTGCACGTCGTATATATCAAGGACTCTTATGTACAATCATATAAAATAATTTTCTTTTCAATTATATACTTGGAGTATATATATATATATATATATATATAATAATCATATTGATTTAAGAAGATTTGTACAGATATTCATACTAGTTTATTTTATATTTATATAGGTATGCTAAATTTGAAAACTCAATGTTCATATTATAATTTTTTCAAGATATTTATAGGACATATTGCATTGGAGGAAAATTGAATTATACAAATGTGTGTATTATACATTGTTTGTTTAATAAAATACATGATGTAAACTGCAA